GCTGAGTGGGCGTGTTTAGTTCCGTGTTAGGCTTGAGCACCTGCAGGTCACACATGACAGCAGCAAATTTCATTTGTGTTCATAGCCTCAAATTGTTGGAGACAGGAGGTGAGAGGGAGAAGTCAGCTCTCTCCTTTGACAGTAACATTCATATTCTCTCTCTCTCTCTCTCTCTGGCAGGGGATTGTAACAGAGAAGAGGGGCTGCTGATAATCTTCCCCTCTCCCAAATCCCAAGGCCATCATGACTACCTCAGAACACCTTGGCTTTCTGCGGAGATTTTTCCAGTCATGTTATAAATTGTAATTTGCAGGGTTTGTGCAGCTTAAGGGAACAGGAGATTATCAACTTCAGGGAGGTCTGGAGATAAATGTGTTCAATTTTTGATTAACTACAAGTTAAGTATTTACTTTGTGGATTACCTGAGACCTATTCGAAACACAGATCCACTTCCTTCCCTTGTGCCCAGGGCCACTTCTCCTACAAGGTGGCAAATTAGCTTGAAAAATACAAACTCATTTTCATTGGCATAAGCCTACGGGCAGAATAAGAGGGAAAGCGTGGGTACAGCTAAGACCGCCACGTAATGTGTTCTTAAATACAGTGCACAGTTTTCTGTCTCTGGTTCTCCAGGTGACTCAGGCCGCTCTAACCTACATCGGGGAAGTTTCATCCATAACCGATTGTTTCCTTTTAGTACTGTCATGTTTCATTTACTCCCCGAAGTCTACCACATTTATAACCCCTTATCTCTTTCTTTTTCCCTCTCTCTCCTTCCTTCTCCCTCCTCCCCACCTCCTCTTCCCCCGTCACTTACAGGTGTACCATAGATGACCGGGTCACCCGGGTGGCCTGGCTAAACCGCAGCACAATCCTTTATGCTGGGAACGACAAGTGGTCCATAGACCCTCGTGTGATCATCCTGGTCAACACGCCAACCCAGTACAGCATCATGATCCAGAACGTGGACGTGTATGACGAGGGCCCGTACACCTGCTCCGTGCAGACAGACAACCACCCCAAAACATCCCGCGTCCACCTCATCGTGCAAGGTAGGCCACAGTTGGAGCCTCACCCATCAGGGAGAAGGGTATCTTAGTCCTCCTAGTGCATGGAGTCAGAATAAGTCTTTTCCTTTCTTGAATCCGGATGTTGAGTAGCTTAGATTCCTTCCCACCTGGTGAGTGCTTGACCAAGTGCTGAATACCTTCTCCAAGTGTCTCAATTTTACGATAGCTCTACATCTTCCATGCGCTTCAGAAGGTGATTTGGTGTGTGTGGTGAGCTCTCTATGTTCCCTAGCACTCTGGGTTCAGGCCAGGGTACGTTCCAACACAGACAGATGCCCTCCGTGCCTTTAATTGCTTTCCAAGTTTTATTTCAAAATTAAAGGTGAATAATATTGATGTGAGATATGTCACAGGGCATGTTTGCACAGCTGCTGGTCATGCATGTTCTGGAAGGGACTCTGAGGGCTGACGTGTTCACACACTTGGCTCCACAATGGGGCCTAGACACAAGAGGAAGGTTAGAACAGTACGCCAGGTCAGCACTGGAAATCAACTCAGTCATTAAAGGGAGGAGGAAAGCCTTCCCATGCTCTCTTTAAAAGTCTGAATCGGTATACCCAGGCATAGTATCACTGTGCATTTTTAAATAGTTTTTCATTTAAAGGTCATTTTGTAGCTAAAAAGGGGGGCTGAAAAAGTGTTAGCATCTCAGACATCAGATACTAAATATTAAGAATTAAGAACACATGCAGACAGTATCCTGAGAAACTGAGACCCATTTGGAAGCAGGGCAGCAACCCAGATGGGCTTGCTTTGCACTGACCTCCCTGCCGATACCATGGATACCATGGAAGGCAGTTTCCACCCAGTGTGGGCTCATGGCAGGAAAAGGCTGAGCAGACTAGTTCTATCACCTCCAGCAAGTCAGAGGCTCAGGTGTGCCTCTCTTGGAGCACTGTTTGCTGACCCGTGGGGATGTGTCCTGAGCTCTCAGAAGGACCCTTCCATGTGACTTTATCTTTACCAGCTGCCTCTGATCAGACTCCACTTGCCAGCAGTTCAGCAGACGAGCTTGTAAAATGTGCATGGCAGCCTTACTTAGCCGAGATGGATTTCCTCAGCCCTGCCTCTTAAACAATATGATGCTGCTCATTTCATCTGGGTCCATGGAGGGAGGGCAAGTAGGGTCTCTCCATACATCCGTCACTTGCACAGTTCCGGGTGCCCATTGTTTCCTTCTGGCATGTGCAGCTCGTTGCTGGAGCAGGATCCAGGTCTGCCTCGGTGGGCCATTTGTAATGGCATGTGTTGGGCCAGAGATATGTCTGCTGCACCTTCTGTTCCCCAGCAGTCCCTGGCACTGCCACGTTACTCAATGCTTTGCTCCTGTTCCGCCTTCGAGCCCTTCTCTCGCCCCCACATCTCAGAGGCTCACACGGGCCTACCATATGACAGACGTCTGTAGACGCTGCTGGTCTCGACTCCGCACACGCCCCACCCAGGAGCATGGCTGGGTGATGATCACCACTTTAGAGCTACAAGACTGCCTGCCATCTGGAAGTAGAGGCAACTGTCATGTCTGATACTTCTCCTCGGGGGACAGTGGAGGCTTTCAGTGAGAGCAGTCATTGGAGATGAGCTGGAATATCTGCTGGAAGTTTCTGGGGTGGAAGAAACACAGGAGTGTGAGTTCTCACTACCTCGCCTGCCACCCGGGCATGGTTCCAGAGGAAATGAAATTCTCAGCATTGGAACTGACGCCTCAGTGGCACCTCCATGGCCTTGACTGCAAAGTTATCTTCCAATTCAGGAAATGCAGGGCTGAAATAAAAAAGAACTGTCAGGCTTTGTACAGAAACAGACTCAAACAGAACATGGCCATCACTTTTCAGGAAATATGACAGACTGGGTAAGCAGGTCAGAGTCAGCCCAGACCTGAAAGGGCTGGGGAGGCTGAGCTTTGGGGCTGATGTTCTGAACACACTTTGAGCAGTTTCTTGGTCAGGATGTGGAAACCTGTGGTGTCTCTGTGGGTCTCCTGTTTTTAAGTCAAAAAGAGTCCAATGACAGGACTTGCAGAGCAGTGGAGCTTCTATTCCGGAGACCAGCCTCTCGTGTCTCTGCCTTCCAGGCCGAGTGGCTCTTGTGGCTCTGGTCATCTGCAGTGGCTTTTGGAATCCAGATGCTCTTGGGCCAGTTGGCAGGTGGATCCTATGTTTAACGAGAAGCTAAGACAAAGGGGTCAGGACCACACTGTTCTGTCTTGATTCATCACAGGGCAGCTGGTTCTCTCTTTGGAGACCAGCTGAATGACCAGAGGATGGACAGAGAAACACCACCGCTCCGTTAGAGAAAAGCCTAGAGTCCTCCTCCTTCCCAGCAGCTATCGGCTTTTGTCCAGTCTATAGATTAATTTTTCAGACTTAGTGTTAGTTCAGGTTAGATAAAGATAATGAAAGTTTCCTAATCCTCTTAAAGAAGATTTATCTGACTGAGTAGAAAGCTTTTGGAATACAATAAGGCATGTATAAAACTGAGGCCTAATCTCGCCTTTAATTTCAAACTGCTGATGGGTATTGATTTTGCAATGAGAAAAACTGAAAAATTTCCGAGCTGCAACTTGTCTGATTTAAAAAGAAAAAAAGTGTTTATTTATCTCCTGTCCATTGGAGAATATTAGTATCTCATTGCTCTGCCAAGCAGGTGCCACTAGCAGCCCGGAGTGCTGCCTCACAGGGACCGAGCTTTTCTCTTCCTCCCATTTTGGGAGCGCCCGAGGGATGCTCCAACACTAAACTCAACGTCTGGGCCTTCCTCTTGGACAGGCTCCTTTCACGACATACCTGCTGGAACTAGTTTCATGTCTTCTCTTTGAGAGAAGGAGCCGCCTTCATTAAAACTGTCTGGCTGATACCAGAGTTACATCTTAGCCACCGAAGGGATCAGTTCAAGGCGCCATGGGAGCATGCGTGCTAATGTAATCCAGACTGTATACCTAGGTGTTAAGGAAGCCCAGAGCCCAGGGAGGTGCCGCGGTGGGATGGGATTAGTCGGGGTGAGGAAATTGATCTGGCAGCCCTGTGGAGGATGAGCTGAAGTGGAAAGAAGCAAGAGGCTCAAGGACAGGCAGTAAGTGGCTCTCATCACCCAAGGAGTGTGGCAAGAGAGGACGGGGGCTCCCTGCACAAATGGAGACGTGCCTGAGGTACTGTCCCCAGCAAATTGGGGGCATTAATCCTAATGCCTTGAACGAGGAAAAATCTAAAGCACAGCACCCATATTTTTGAGTTTGGGGAAATGTAAGTGACCTTATTAGTCATCGGGGACATAAGAGCACTGGGGAAAGCAGCCTTAGGTTTACTGGGCGTGGGAAAAGAAAGGGAACAAGAACATTTTACAGGTGTTACAGAACTCGGCAAGTGATGTAACGCTACAAAGGGTATATGTGAGGTTCAGCATACGTTTACTAGCTTGATAGTAGGTGAGTTTTCCAAGACGAATTATTCCTAGAAAACCAGCAAGAAGCTTAATTTCTTTATACCCACTCCCAGCACTTAGTCCACTCTCTGAGGCACAGTGGGCACTCAGCAGTTCTGTGTTTGCAAACTAAACAGAACAGACTGATACAGGAGATGGCCCTGCCTGCAGTGAGTGGAAAGCCTCTTCCAGCCCAAAGGTAGAGGAGGCGTCAGATCCAACCAGAGGACGCGGGTGGACAGTAATGGCAGACGTTCTTTGGAAGAGAGAGAGTCCCCAGGGTGACAAGTTAAGAGCATTTAGTCCTTGACAGAGATGGTCACAGTCTTCGTCTCATTGGATACTCATAAGCCCTAGGAGGTGTCAGTGAAGTGACCGTTATGTCCACTTGCAAGTTAGGTAACTGCGGCTCATGGAGGTCAAGAGACCCACCGCCCTCCCCTTGAGTGAGTAGCTGAGCTGGTCTTGAACCCTGGCTGAACGACACTAAGATTAGTGCCTTTCTGGCACACTCGAGCGTGTGCCCTGCCAAGCACACCTTGAGTTACCGCTCTGCTCTAAATGATCAATGGGAAGTTTGTAGAGTTCTTTGTGGATTATTTCCTCTTTTGTTTGGTTTGGTTTTGTTTTCCTTTTCCTGCTGCTGATACTGCATTGTACTAGCAGAAATTGAGGACAGAACTCCAGAACGAAAATTAGCAAAGGGGTGGGACACCAAAGCTACAATGAATGGTATGAAGAGGCTGAGAGGCAGAGAGGAAGATAATTAATTTTCTAGCTGCTCATCCCTCCAGGGACACACATTTTAAATGTTACCACTTTATCCCATGTAAGTACTGAAAAACCTGGGCCCTTTGAGAACCCAGGAGCTAATCATGGTTCTCAATGTCTCTAACTCTTCGGCTCTGAAACCACCCAGAGGGGCTCTGCGGCGCCTGTGGTCTGTTTGTTGGGGATGGAGGGAGAAGGAAGCTGCTGGCCTCTCAGTATTCTCCACCTGCTCTCTCGGCTAGTTTAGAAATTGTTTACTACAAGGTATTTCCTTTCATGGAGTGAACGCCTCTGCTAAGCCCAGTTTTATGCAGCAGGCTAGAAATGATGAATTGTGTTCAATTTTCACACATAGGAGATGCCACAGGAAGCTTATTCAATTTCCACGTATACAAAAGACTGGGTGCCGGTTAGCCTGGAGTAGGTTCAAGTGGGACGGATGCTGCTGCGGAAGTTTAGCCTCGGAGGAAGGGTGCAACTTCCCCATCTCTGCCCTAGACACATCACATAGAAACTTTGTTTCAGGTGATTCTTACAACCACTACAAATATATGCTAGTTTCACATTTTAAAAGGAAAAACAAACCAGCAAACCAACCAACCAACCCGAGACAGAAATATTAAAAACCAACCGAAAGATAATGGAGATGCTAAGTGCTTTAAATTCCTTTCACTGGGCTTATTCCCTTAGGGTAAGCTTTTTTTTTTTTTTTTCCTAGAGAAAAAGTTGGGGTCAGCTGGTAGCAATGGGTAAAAGTTCTGCATTACACTGACCGTCATAGGAAAGTACTGGGT